GATATACTGAATTCTGAAGTGTTATTTTACTATTGCAAAATATAAAGAGTTGAATTTTTCAGTTTTTTTCAAAATGGAATATATTTTTAAAATATGTTTATTTATTTATATGTCAAACTTATATAGCTGCCCATCTCACGTAAAGGGAACAAAAATATGTTGTTTCTCATTTAGGAGTTCAAAATTTTCTGAAGACTTTCTCCTAGATAAGACACTTTGGTTTCTTTTATACAGATGTAATGAATTATTATTAAGTGAGCATTTCTGCAAGGAGCAAAAGCAAACATTGCATTCAGAAATCATTAAAAACAAATTTCAAAGAATTTACAGCTTGTCTCTTAAAAACTTTCTTCTATAAATACATAATAGGAGTGTTCTTGTACTGCTAAAAATGCGTAAACCATGATTTAGTGATATGTCAAAACAGCTTGATGATAAGGAAGATTAAAAAAACAACTCAACATATTGAAACTCATCAAAAAAACACACAACTTAAAATTATTTGCTGGCCGGTGGAAAAAAAATACTCAGATTAGGAACAGGAGAGAAATTAATTAATCTTCTTAATTTGCATTTCCGATCCATTTCAGGAATTGGAATGTGCGCTGCTTCGATTTAAAAAAATACTTGCAAAAATATCTAACAAAAAAGTACACACCAGAATATCAAAGTAACATTAAAAGGCATAATCTAGGTAAAACTACTTGCAAAACTATGCTTTCAGAAAATGAGTGCATTTGGACTTTTTATTTTGAAAAAAAATCTACAAACCTATATGGAAATGAGCTGGAATTAATTTAACATTGAATAAATTAAAAATGACTGAACTGAATTTGATAGGTTTATTCCTTCACAGCAGAGACAGCCCCTAGGAAGTTGTTCTGTGCACCTCCTCTTCATTGCAGTGTTAGATGTGTGGGCAGTCTTCCCAGGATAGACGTTCTTCCCTAATTTGGTATCCTCCAAATGTGTTGAAGTGCAATTCCCATTGCCCCCAGCATGGCTATGGTTGCTTTCTAATGAATGAATTGCCTTTTTACTATTTGTGGTGTTTATCATCTTTTTTAAAAAAATATTTTGAAATCCATGAGCTCATATGTCATTTTTTTTTTTTTTTTACCTTCTTGTTGCTCTCGCTTTCACTGTCTGGTTTGTCCTTCATTGGCTTGGTCTTCCAATACTGTACCTCGTGCTTTTGAAGGCTGCAGAAACTTGAGGAAAGCAGTCAAGAAGAAAGAAGGTTGGAATGTTTCCCAGGTTTTTGATTAAGCTGTCATTTGAAATCTAATGATCGGGTCACATGTAAACACACATTATTCTACATAAATCTAGCAAAGGAGTTTCATCATGTGATTTTTTTTTTTTTTTTGGGCTGGACTAATCCCTTTCCTTGTTATTAAATTACTACTGAAAAATAGAGCATAGATCTGGGATTGAAGTTAACCAGAGCAGTTTAAAAGCAGCTGGGTGTAAACTAAAACCCATTTCAAAGTGATAGATAGGGCAAATTACAAACATAATATTATAATAGCAACACGGCTGTCTTTAACAGATTTCTTCTTGAGTGCTTACAACAAATGAATCCTAAACTTAAAAATCAAGTTAAAAAACAAGTACTCATTTATAAATACAGGTAGTCCTTGACTAAGGACCACAATTGGGACCGGAATTTCTGTTGCTAAGCAATGTGGTCATAAAGCGAGATGTCACATGACTGCATCGCTTAGTGATTGCAATCCCAGCAGTCCTGTTTGCCATTGTTAACTGAGAATCGTGAGTCATTAAGCGAGGACCCACCCCAATCCAAGCCATTCTGGGCTTGGTCCCTCCCAGCCCCAAGTCTCAGTAAGGTAAGGGACTGCTCCAACTCACCCCCCGCCTATCTGCCCCATAATCTCTGCCCTTTTAGCCACCCTGCACCTTGCCTTGCTTTGAATGGTCACTGAATAAATGGTCTTAAATTGAGGACTACCTGTATTTAACTTCCTTAGCAAATAACCATTTTCAGTCTGGACTAGATTAAGCTGGAGTGGTATTTTTTTTATCTACATGAGAACTTCACTTTCTATACTACAACATATAACAGTATTGGCTTGGATCCAGAATATAACAAGTTGCTGTAGTCACACAACAGGATGTTCCTCATTGCAGCCCCCTGTTTCCTTACCAGTCTGCTTATGAGGGCAAGAGACTCTTCAGATGGTCATGGGATTTGGATTGTAGGATGGAAGCACCTTGAGATCACAAATCACAATTTTTTTTGCCCCCATCTGTGGTTCGCACTTATTTTCTGTTACTTTTGTAATTAACTGGGAACCCAGGAAGAAATCCTACAAAGAACAACTTCAGTGTTGTATCAACTTTCTCCTGTTCTGTCATTGTAGAACAGCAGGGATCAGTTGGTACTTGCTACGTTCTGAGGCCAGAAACTTGTGGCAAGTGGTAATTAATTTCTGCCGCTTACATAGGTATAAAATCTTTAAAAACTTGGAAGAGAAAGTGTAAAAAAGATAGCAAGAAGCACAGATTACATCTTTTTATTGGTTGAGAAGATGTTATCTTCCAAATTAGCACATTGGAAAGCCCACACATACAGGTCTAAGTTTCATACTAAGTTTCAGTATGATTTAGCTGCTTGCTGGGTTGTTGGTAATGTTCTTCTGGATAGAACTCATTTAAGACACCAAGACCTGTGTTTTCCTAACTTGTGGTATAGTGTGAGAAAAACAGCTGAAAAAATAACAAATATTATTTAGACTACAATAAATTACTATACTGCATTATTCATTACAGTTTAGTACAATAAGATCAAGATTTATACAGAGGTACTCTGTACAAGGATATCTATTCACTAAAATGGTGAGTGGATTTTATACATCCATATTTTATGCTTTTTACACATTTATGCATGTATAAAATGATGAATAGGATTTATGTATCTGCAGAAGCATGAAATATTGCATCCAAAATCTGCTAAAATTCAAATTAAAATCTGAAATCCTTTAAATTGAGTTCTGTAATTTTTGATAGAAATTTTAAAAGCTAAACGCTGTATTGTAGTCATTTTGATTTTGAGCCCATAAGTAGTGATACAAAGCATCTTAATTTAAGTGACGTACATTTGAATATAAACAATTAGGTCAAATGTATATAATTCATAGTTACAATTTTTTAAAAAAATATTCAAAACGTTTACAAATTGGGAAATTCTTTAAGTAGCATTTTCTTTCACATTCTTAAATTCTCAAAATTAATTCTTTTTCAGAACCAAACTTACTAATTTTAGTTTTCATTTGTTAAATATACTGTGATCATATTTAACATGATCAGTTTCATAAGACACTTTCTCATACTTGGAACTTTTAAGACTTGAAGTGTTTAACATACATCAACTTGCAGTGAAAATCATAAAACAATAGTATCTCGTCTTTAAACACTCAAGATACATATATACATATCCATCAGCAATATTATACAAAGCAGAGAAAAGGAGTAAGAAATAGCCCAGAAAATTAAGCTATGAGGTAAGGAAACGAAAAGGGAATATAGCTAGATCTAGTTTACAACAGCACCATTCGCTATACCTCTCTGTACCATATTTTTACTTGTAAACCATCTTTCCCCCATATCCGTACACTGCTTCATATGTTGCCCGTTATTCTTTACACTTCTCTATTTCTCTTGTTTTTAGGACCTTATCAACTCCTGTATTTGGTTTTGGACTATAAATATTTTTTTTATTTGATTTGAACTCCATATACTCATGACTTTCTCAGTCTTCTCCTTCCTCTTCACCCATTCACTCTTTCATCACATATTTTGTGATTGAGTCCTCATTTATTCTCTGTCTCTGATAGAAAAGAATTCTCTATCTGACCAAACCACCTCAGCATAGATCTTTCATACTGCTCACGCACATTCTTATACATAGTATTTTTTTCCCCTCAAATATTAATTCCTTGAACAGATCACTTCCTATTCACTATTGTTCTAGCAGCATTTGCATGTCTTGAAATTTGTTTATCCCTTTTCCCATAGTTAGAAAACATTCTACCAAGATTTACAAATTCATCCATTTGCTCTAGTTTTTCATGCTTTATGTAAAACAATATTTCTCTTCTTTTTCCTTGTAAAACACAGTTACCTTGGTCTTTGATACATGAATGGTCAAAACAAATGTATTAATCATATAATCTTTCTCCTTTTGGCTGCAATAATTCAGGTTTTCAGCCAACAAGATAACATCACATCCCCAACCAACTTTCATTTAATTATTTTTTCTAATACAGGACTCATACTCTTAACTTCCTGCAATCATTTTAGTTTTGCTGTAGTTTCTTTCACATATATTCTTTTCTCCCATGTCCATTTTTCCCAGGATTACCACTGACACTATTAAATGGCTTGACCCCTATTCAAAGCCTCTTAATCCCTTTTGTAGCTATTACCAATTCTCTTAATCTTTTATCATAAGCAGTCAAATCAAATCATGCCCTTTGATTCATTTCCATGTGTACGTATGAATAGAATTATGTTTAAACACTTATTTCTAGACAGACACTACCAAGCCCCATTCTCATTCAATCTTGGGTCTCTGAATAGCCCAATCACTTTTTTCTGTATTCATTTTTTTCTACACATCCATTCATGACACCCAACAGAATACGTTTTTCCCTGAATTGCATTCATTCAGAATGTTGTGCAATTTCTCCCCAAACCCTAGTTCTTCCATTGTCACCATTCATTGGAGTGTAACATGCAGCTTCCATCAGCATATGGATTCCTATTTCATACAGACAACAACCAGCATGTCACCAATTATACTTTCGTGCATCTCCTTCTTACAGGTTAGGAGGGTCCATGGGAACATTTACAGGGCCTCTGTGAGAATTATTCTAAATATCTGCTGAATAAAGTTGTTTGAAGCTGGACTTGTGTAGGTTCTGTGGAGTTGCCTGAGGCATGGGCTTGCCTGGTTATCTGGAAAGAAATTGAGTTTGTTGGTCCTGATGAATTTGACAGGGTCCTTGGAGCTATGAGTTCAGCCACCTGTGTTTTAGATCCTTGTCCCTTATGGTTGGTTAAAGCCTCCTAGGAGGTGACATATGGTTGGGTCCATGCAGTGGTTAATGCCTCCTGTCGGATGTGGTGGTGCTGCCTGCTATGAAGAATGTGGTCATCACCCTGTTCCTGAAGAGGCTATCACTGGATTCAGTGGAACTGGACAACTTTTATCCAGTCTCCAACCTTTCCTTTTTGGGGAAGTTTGAAAAGGTAGTTGGCCTACACTGGATTATCTGGATCTTTTTCAGTTGAGATTAAGACCAGATTATAACACTGAAACAGCATTGATTGTACTTGTTGGTCACATTTAACAGACTCAGTTTAGGGGTAGTACATCCATCATGATCCTCCTTGATGTCTCAGCAGCTTTTAATATCATTGATCATGATATCCTTCTGGACCATACTAGTCAGTTTTGTCATATCTTGTCCAAGTGTTGCCAGAGCCCAGACTTACCCCAACTCACAACTAGGATTTCCAATATAGAGACTACTTTGCAAGCCTGCTTACTGTTGTACATGCTAATTTCATTTTAACAATCTGTTTCAAAATCAGTTTGATTGGATCTCCAATCAAATAGACTTTCCACCTGAAATCAGATGCCACTAACTTGATTTTATGAGAGACATATTTAGGATATTCTACCCTTCAAAAGGATTAACTGAGAAAGCTTGGGGTTTAGTAGTAATTTAACTTTAAAATTGGATTGACTGTGGATAAGCAGTAGTGCACATTCATTATAATTTTCCTTATTCTGCTGATTAAAATTTTAAAGCCATATTTAACTTTTCAATTTATGCATTTTTCTGTTAGGATTTAACAAATCTGGTCTCTGAAGAGAGAATAGGGAAGGATAATTGTTATTGTTTGAATCTAGATGAATTATGTTTATTTGAAAAGGTTGATAAAAATAATAAATTTCAGAATAACTGCTGGAAGTATTTGTTAAAATAGGATAAAGGTTGAAATAAAAGAAATAGTCATACCTTTAGATTAATAAGCTATTTTGCAGTCAAACACAGGATAAAGATTTCATATCCAGCTGTACGCTATGTTAAAATGTGTACAATTGATTTGGTCCATCTGTTCAGTTCACTTTGGAAAATCTAAAATCTAATGTCTGATTGGATTGTTGGATTTTTGAGATTGATTTTAAAAGGGATTTTGCACAGCACAAAAAGCCGTACTGAATCATCAAATCAGGTTGGAGACATATGATTTCAGATGGAAAGTCTATTTGATTGGAGGTTCAATCAAACTGATTTTGAAACAGATTGCTAAAATGAAATTTTGCATAGCCATATCAAGTATATAATAAAATTTAAATCCATGGGTAATTGTGTTTTATTATAGTCATTCAAATTGCAAAGAACACTAATTCAGTTTCAAAGAAGTAGAAGGAAATTCTTAACAGGGAATGTATTTTGGGCAGCTTATCTAAAATACAGTTGTGGTTTTTTAAATCCAGGTCCATTATTGAGGGATATTAAGGCTGCAGTTCTCAACTCCATTTCTAGTAGTTGAGCTCCATTTTTCTCAGTGGGATTTACTAAATTTACTAAATCTCTGAACCTTTTACTTTTATGATTTTCAATTATTTCAACATTGCAGTTTTTTTCTTACAAGATTAGGGTTGGCCTTGGAGGCAGGGGATACAAAGTTTCAGATTTCTGTGCATCTTTTCTCCTGCTTTTTAAAGTACTACCATTATGATTGTACATAATTCTTATATGTGCAAAAATGTAACTTGGGGGGGGGCGGTTTCTGTGGTTCTAGCTCATCTTTACACCCAGCTTACCTTACACTGCTCTGGCATGAAATAGACACTCACTCTGTGGTCCTTCTAGTGGATCTGTCTATATTTCTGTAAAGGTTTGGCTGTGCAGTTCCTTCTGGCTTACTGTCCTAACTTTTCTTCTGAATCCCCAGAATGCAGCGTTGTGCATGGATTGCAAGGGTGAGGCTGGCATTGAATCTTCATGATTTTTGATCTTACAAGAAGCTTGTGCAATGTTTGGTTTTGATTGTTTAGCAAAGTTGTTCAGCTTAAGAGAGGGGGAACGATCCTTCCAATAGTTAAATGCCCCCCTTTTTTATTTCTTCTCATAGTGCTATTAAAGAAGAAAACACAGATAATGAGCAGGAGAAAAAGGATGAAAAAGGCATTTCTGAAAGAGAGATTAATGAGCTAGAAGCAGTAAGTATTGTGGTAATACATCTTGTCGTTTATTAATAATGACACTTGTTTTCTCTGGGAATTTTGATTAAAGCAGACAGAGAAAATGTAATTTTTTTCTGGTAGTCATGTTTTTTAACAATAATAAGACAGAGAACATAATATATATAAATGACTATGAGAAGCATTATTTTCTTCATAATTTAGCTTAATATTTAAAGGCTGTGCGTATAATTTGTTTAGGATCAAATTAAAACGATATTTAAAAATGAGGAAACAGTGGGGGAGTTCCTGTTTTGGTTCTTTTTCATTCTTGTAGGAAGATGGGCATGAGCCCAGCGACCATGAGGATGATGAGGAAGAAGAAGATGAAGATGAAGATGATATGGAGGTGGTTGAAAGTTCAGATGAATCGGATTCTGACTCTGATGAAAAAGGTAAGACAGACAGGTAGACAGATAGATATACTTAATGTGTTATCTTTTTCTCTTTTCGCCTAAATAGGTATTTTAAGATTAAGACAAGCATTCTGGAGACTACATTTAGTATCTATTTCATGAAGCAGCTCATGATTAGATGACGTAGGAGATTAGTAAATCTCTATAGTTATAAATGTTTCAATGAGACGTTAGAGGATTTTTTTTTTTAGTAGATTTTCTGCTTTTAAGTTAATGCTCAGTTAACTTTTGGCTTTCAGATTTATAATATAAAAGTTAAATCTACTTTGGTAAGAATGCACATTCAGCTTTAAAATGATATGCTTATTTTTTAGGCAATAGGTCATTCATAAATCTTGTACCCCAGATTAAGATTTCATAGTTGTAAGCATCTCCTTTAATTGCAACTTTATTATTAAAAATGTATACTAAAAATAAGATTTACTGATGAATAAGTAACAAAAACTGTTAACAGAAATGAGGCTTTAATGTGGATGCCATCAGTTTTTCCTGTTAAAGGGCTGTAATATGGACAGTCTTATGTAGGAAAAAGATGGTAAAGTAAATATATTGAAAATGTTTAATGTAGATATGCAAACAATTTGGAGTACCTATCAAATCTGGAACTTCCTCATCAAGGTTCTGTTATTTCTATTACATAGGTAGTCCCTGAGTTACGACTGCAACTGGGACCAGAATTCTCATTGCTAAGCGATGCGGTCGTAAAGCATGATGTTACAAGACCACATTGCTTAGCAACAGCAATCTCTGCAGTCCCTGTTGCCGTTGTTAAGTGAGGATCGTGGGTTGTTAAGCGAGCATCTCCTTGCAGCTTCCTTCTGGCTTCCAATAAGCTGGCAGGAAATTGCAAGTCCCAGGAAGCTTGCAAGCAGGCCAGCAGACAGGTGAGGGGCTGCTGCCAGGTGGGAGAGGGAGCAAGGGGGTTGCTTGGGTGGCTGGAGAGATGTGGCACAAGTGCAGTGGGCCTTCGTGTGGCTGCTGTTGGGTGGGGGAAGGTGTACGAGTGTCTGGGGAGGAGCAGCACAGTGAGGCTTGGTGAGGGTGCACAGATGGTGAGGGAGGCATGGTGTGAGCGTAGTGGGGCTTGGGGTGTCTGCTTTCAGGTGGGAGAAGGTGTGTGAGTGACTGGGGAGGATGCGCAAGTGGCTGGGAGAGTGCGTGAGTGGCTGGGGAGGCATGGCATGAGCACAGGAAGACTCGGGGAGGGTGTGGGTGGTGGGGGAGGTGTGTTGTGAGTACAGCGAAGCTCGGGAAGGGTGCATGAGGGTGTGCGCGTGGCCAGTGAGGCACAGTGTGGTGTGAACACAGTGGGGCTGGGGGAGGGTGCGCAGGCGGGGGAGACTTACCTGAGCAACTTGCAACTTTCCCTGCTGGCTTCCCCATTGACTTTGGTTATGAGAAGCTGGCAGGGAAGGTCACAAATCACAATCACATGGGATGCTGCAACCATTGTAAGTGCGAGCTGGTTGCCAAGCGTCCAGATTGTGATGACATGACCACGGGGGTGCTTGGATTGCCAGAACTTCAAGGACAGGTTGTAACCACTACTTGTGCAACACCGTCGTAATTTTGAATGGTCACTGAACAAGTCGTTAACTGAGGACTACCTACATTTAAATGTATTTGGATATTTAGTTGGCTTAAAAATAATTGCATTACATTCATCATGTAATGTGAAGTTTGATTGATTTCACACACTTGTATTAAATGCTCTTTCTTAGTTTTATAGTTTTTGATTGCTGCAATGCATTAAATTCTTTCTATTGCTTTTAATTTCATTAATTATAGCAAATTATCAGGCAGATTTAGCAAACATTACATGTGAAATTGCCATAAAACAGAAGCTGATTGATGAACTAGAGAATAGCCAACGAAGACTACAGACTTTGAAAAGGCAGTATGAAGAAAAGCTAATGATGCTACAGCATAAGATTCGAGACACGCAGCTTGAAAGAGATCAGGTGCTTCAGAACCTGGGTAAGACAGTTGTCACTCACTTTTATAAAGTATACCAATAATTCTTTTAAAAACATTATATAGTAATTAAACAAAATGAGAAACAAGGTAAATAATTGGATTAGGAGGCTTTTACTTTTTTAAAATTTGTTGTTGATAAAATAGTAATTTAATAGGTCTACATAAAAATATCCAATGGGGTTGACAGACCTTTGAGGAGGCCAGGTGATGAAACAGACATTCCAAGAAGTACTGGAACTGTTGTTAATAACAGAGTCTTGCAAGCCTGATATAGACTCTCTCTTGCCGCTCTTACACCAGAGGGAATTGAGGTGGGGCAATCTTGAGTTTCTTTTTCACTCCCTCCTCCTTTCCCGAGCTTAGTTGGTGCTTATATAAGATCTAATTCAAGGCCATTTCCACACACCTCTACAGGAGTGGAATAACATATTCATGGTCATTTGTGAGGGACTACCACCTCCTTCTGCAGATCTGAGCAGCAAGAGACATTCCATGTTAGGGAGGAATTGCATTGAACTTGTGGCAAAAGCTTGAAGTTTGTGCATTATTTCAACAATTTATATGGCCACCCATCTTGCTATTGTGACTCTAGGTGGGTAACATGAAGTAAAATAAAAGATCAGTAACCTAGATAGTTAGAAACAATTACAGTCATAATCAATATATAGTGTGCCGGAGGTCCAGTAACTCCTTTCTGTCATACAAGTCTGTAACAAAGAGACAAGCAACAAGAAACATTTGGGTTTTGGCCCCAAAATGATCCATCTTTTTTTTTAGATTTTTTTTTAATCCTGCCTTTATTATTTTTATAAATAAGTCAAGGTGGTAAACATATCTAATACTCCTTCCTCCTCTTATTTTCCTCACAACGGCATCCCTGTGAGGTGAGTTGGGCTGAGAGAGAGAGACTGGGCCAAAGTCACCCAGCTGGCTTTCATGCCTAAGGCAGGACTAGAATTCACCATCTCCTGGTTTCTAGCCTGGTGCCTTCACCACTAGACCAAACTGGCTCTCTTTACCTCCCCAAGTCCTCATGGGAAGTCAGAAATTTGGAATATTTTAAAAAGGCAGCCAGTGCTGAAAACCAGTTCCTTACCCCTCATTTGCATGGTTTCCTCTAATCAGTTTTTTGCACAATCACTATTGCTGTGCATCTCAAACATTTTACCAAGATTTTGCAAAAGTATATTCTTCCTTTTTTTAGTGGCAGCATCAACCCTCTTAAATCAAGTTTATCTTTGTCAATAGCAGCAGTGGTAAAGCTGGGGACTACTTCTTGTTTGTGGCTTAGGTGTAATGTGATGTCCCTTTAAATTTGTTAAACACATATTATGTATTATTCCATCCTGGATCAAGGCTTGCTTTTGAGAGTGTGGTGAATGTTGTGCTTTCTCTTATATTGTGCAGGGCTCATATTACTTGGCTAGATGAATAATGATTAATAATGTAAAGATTCTTCAGATGAGCTCCAGCTCAAGGTTATCTCAGATCAGCCAAAGCCATTTTGCCATGATAAATATTGTACTAGGGACAGATGAGGAGAACTGGCACATTAGAATGAAGGCCCATGCTACAAGACATACGAAGACCCAAAGAAGCAGATATCTGAGGAGCCATCTCGCCTCCGTTATATCTGTCCTCCCCACTCAGTCCAGCAGAAGGGGCATGTTGCGGACCCCACCAGTCAAGGAATTTCAGCTGGCAGGGTCTAGGAAGAGGGCTTTTTCTGCTGTGGCCCCTGCCCTGTGGAACAGCTTACCACTGGAGGTGGGGGCTGCTCCCATTCTCCTGGCCTTCTGAAAAAGTGTGAAAGCATGGCTATGCTGGATGGCCTGGGGGTCTGATGGGGGCTTGCATTGTTGGAATTGGCTGGTGGGATGATTGATAGTGCTCCCCCCATCATCTTAAATTGTATATAGTCTTTTTATATAGAATTGTTATTAGTCTTAATATGGATATTTATATTTTTATTGTTTTTACTGCTTTGGATTTTAATTGTAAGCTGCCCAAAGTCACCCTCTGGGGGAGATGGGCAGCATATAAATGTAATAAATAAATAAAATAAATAAACCTTGCTCTTCCTTTCCTCCCCTTGTAAAAAATATATTTGGTAAAAAGGAAAAGTAAGTAGGGGCAGAATTTTCTAACCAAAACTGAAAGATGACACAACTTAGCATTGTGGCACCATTTAAGCCTAGAATGTGTATGATCCTAATTCATGGGCTGAGAAATCCATTACCGTTGTTAGGTTCAGTGGAGTCCTACTCGGAAGAAAAAGCAAAAAAGATTAAAACTGAATATGAAAAGAAGCTCCAGTCCATGAATAAAGAACTGCAGCGACTTCAGGCAGCCCAGAAAGAACATGCACGATTACTTAAAAATCAGTCTCAGTATGAAAAGCAGCTGAAAAAATTGCAACAGGATGTGACAGAAATGAAGAAAACAAAGGTATTCCACCTCACTTCACAAACACTAATATAGTGTGTGTCCACCTGAACGATCAGCTCTGTTTCCAGATACTCTGTCTTTTGTTTTGCTGCTGGAAGCCATTTGAATGGCTTGGTCAAGACTGCAGTTATACCATTGTTCATAAATAAATATGGCCACTTGCCTATAATGTTTGTGACCTGCATCTCCACTCACATGCTGGGGGAGTCTTCACTCCCCTCCCCATCTTGTATATTTCTTCTTGGGTGCAAATGTCATGTGGCTCTTAGCACAAGAACTGAAGCTACAGAGATCTTTTGCTTTGGGCCCAGTGGTTCACCCACTTCAGTGAGTTAGAATGCAGTGATTGAACTGATTTCTGCTCAGTAATTGATTGCCTTGCCTATGATAATAAACAAAAATAGCCAGGAGAGAGATTATTATAAGTAATCTAGCACTGCGAATGATAGCTAATTGTTATTTACAGCAAAAAGGCTTAATGCAAAGGAGTGTCACTGTGTTTTGTGAAGAGAAAAACTATATTTTAAAGATGGCTAAATAACTTTTATACAGGTTCGTTTGATGAAACAAATGAAAGAAGAACAAGAGAAAGCAAGGATGAATGAATCTAGAAGAAACAAAGAGATTGCACAGCTTAAAAAAGAACAGCGGAAACGAGAGGTGATCAGTAGATTGGCAAAATCTATCTATTGCATTTACATGAGATAAAAGTAAATATATTTAAAGCTTGAATGGACATGGAGCCATAGTATTGGGACTTGGTATCATAACTATGGGGAATTTAGTTTGGAATGAGCTACATCTTGAGAGTAAGGATGAAGATGCTTTGATTCTCTAAATAGGGATTATGTGGAGTTGGGCAAAGAATGTGCCATAATAATTGATGGGGAAAGGCCAGAAAGTTATAAGAGAAAAAATATGCCAGACATTTGGAGAGGCCTCTGGCCAGTGATGGAGGAGTTGAAATACTTGATTTTAAAGTAGAACATAGATATAGCAAATAAGTATAACGGAAATGCAGTAGCTGACTATTTTCCTTGAAAACAAACACACCAGCATATGAAATTAGAAATCGTAGAACAGGCAGGTTCCATATCAGTAACAAGAAATTAGGTTTCCCAAGATCTTTTCTTGGGATTGCTATTTTTAAAAATTTGTTTATAAGTGATCTGGAATTGAAGGTGAGGAGGATCAAACTTAGGTTTAGTGTAGGTGACACTGAACATAAATGTAAGGGAAAGAGATGGTCCCAACCCACCTTTATTTTTTTTTAATAATTTTATTGAAAATTTTAAACACAAGAATAAGACTAATACAAACTAAAATAGAGTGGAAAAAAAAAAGAGAAGGAAAAACTGAAAGAAAAAAACTAAAGGTGCAAAAAGAAAAAGAGTAGCAGAAAAATAGAAAAGAAAAAAAAAGATACAAAGAAGTAGCTTCCAGTCTTCTTTACAGCAGTTATAAGTACAATTATAAATTGATCTCTCTCTCTAAAGTTACATTGTGACTCTCTCCTTTCTATAATCTATCCTATATAATCTTCAAAACCATAAATCATAAGTTCATTTTTTTCTTTTTTAAGCAAAAGGTCTATAAGGGGTTTCCAGTCACCAGTAAATGTAGATATTGTCTTTTCTCTAATCAGACAAGTCAGTTTGGCCATTTCAGAGAGTTCTGTCATCTTCACCAACAATTCCTCTGTCATAGGTATTGCCAAATCTTTCCATCTTTGGGTGTACAATAATCTCACTGCAGTTATATATAAAAACAATGTTCCATGACTTTTTTCCAACTGCTTATCCATCAGTCCCAAGAGGAAAAGTTCTTGTTTCAGTTGAATATTAATCTTTAAAATTGTCTGAATCACCTTACGTATTTGAACCCAAAAATTTCTAGCTTTTTTACATGTCCACCAAGCATGATAAAATGACCCTTCTTGTTGTTCACGTTTCCAACATAAATTTGAAGTACCTTTATACATTCTAGCAATGGAGGCGAATATGTGTAGCTCAGGGTTGAACTGTGGAGTCCTTGGGGTTCTCT